ATTCACGGTTTACATTCTACGAGGTGACTTTAAGAGAGCGTCTTTCCCCCTGACACCCCTAGAAACGGGATGATTCGGTCCTATTATCAGCACCAGGAGGAGTAAATGTGAATCGACGTCTCTGCTTATTCCTTGGATTAGAGTCAGGCGAGAAGTCCCCCCTTACAACGTCACTGAATGAGTCATTGTCGCGTTCGGTACGCGCATCGCTGCGTTGATCGTCGGGAACGTACAATTTGCCTTCAATATACAGTTTGTCGCGAACCAACTTAGTTTTCGACTTGTCAGCCCTCACTTTCTTTTTAATGGGGTATAGCAAAAGTCTCTTTTCCTCAATCTCTGCCGGAAAATTCTCGTTGATGCTGAACGGCTTTCCCCGGAGCTTCCATGATAGCTTCAGCACCCGAACTAGGTCCTTATAGTAAATAAATCGTGCAGCGATTGGTTTCGACTTGCGATTAGTGAATTTACCAAAGCGATGCACATTGCCTAACTCTAAATGATCATCGATCCCAAGCTCGAGATATAGAAAGTCTCTGAGCTTGAGCTCAGTGTCCTCATCTTTATCTTCACCAAGAAGCCCGTGAAAAATCAAATTATTTTTCATAGACCTACACTGAAGGTCAATTAACAAAGAGCCCATTTCGTCCTTTTCATTCTTCAATGTATGCAACTACCTGTGGATCATGGTAGTGTCGAAGGACGTGGCCTCACGGATAGATTCCAAAGAAGCAGTATTACCCTCAACCTGGGATTTTACAGAATCAAACAATTCCCCGAGAGCTTGTGCGCTCTGCTCATAGTCACGTGTTTTCACGGTCTTTGATAGATCTCTCAAGCTCCGAGTTCTTTACTTTCACATTACCAAGTTCATGCTCCATCTTTCTGACTTTATCAGATAAAGCTGACAAAGTATGCTGTACTAATCTTCTTTACCTGAACATCAATGCCAGATATACGCACATTCATATCCGAGATAAGTGACATAATACGATCGAGTTTTGAGTCAATTTTACTTTCGTTACTGGGTTTATAAAGAACCTCGTGAGCCTCTCCCACTAAATGTGAGGTAGCCAACGTTCAAACAACAGCAGCGCAGAATAAGGCGAGTCAATGACAAGTGAGCACGGAATATGGCGACTTTCTCATTTGGAGTCTCACGCCAGGTAAATGTCACAGTAGCGCAAAATAGCATACAGGTGAGTCAATGACAAGTGAGCACGGAATACGGCGACTCTCTCCCGTGGAGCCTCACGCCAGGTAAATGTCATGGTTGATTAGACACACAGGTGAACAGGTAACACAAGCCAATGATTGTTTACGACAAAATCAGAATGTGAGTAAATATGCGTAACTTCTTCACTACACAGTATCACATGCACACCAAACCGACGATGCAGGAATGATACAGAAGCTGGGTGAAATTTAGAGACTCAAAATCAGACTAAACTGAGTAAATAGCCATATGACACGTCCGAACACGTCAGCCGCCATCTTCTATCTTCCTATCTAACCCGAAAGCCAGGATTCAAATGTACCCCGATATAGTAAAAGACAAAAGACGTATACCCAGGAGAAACTTTCAACCAATCAAACACCTCCGTCAAAGTCCGTCAAATGTCTTGTGTCCAGTCGGTCAGTGAACACTACTCACGTACACAAGTACATACATATACACTACACAAAGGGACGCGCTCGCCAATACCTTTAAACGTTACGCGCGCAGGTAAAACGTGACACTAACGATGTGTTCGCGATGATAAATAATACACACATGTACACATACTACAATACAAAATATAGATACTACAGGAATCACTACTAATATACAAAAGATGGCCCTATTACACATATAAGGGACAATTTTCGGGTTGTGAAATCAAATTTAGGTCGACTGTCATGGGGAATTTGTTGCATTTTAAATGTGAAAAATTTATTGTGCCGTCTTCTAATTAATACATAAAATAATACTACTTTGTATAACGAATGATAATTGGAGCTGTATATAAAGATATGAACAACTCGATTGATCATGTCTATGAACTTATTTCTGTATCGTAATCGAAAACATATCTACTTTAGCAAGGATAAAATGGAGCAGTGCTTCACCGATATCTTTGTTAATGGTATTTACATTGGGATACAATGAAAACCACTATTTGCACATAAGTGTTTGAAGTCGTATTCAGCACTTTGATAGAAGCATATTATATTGACCGCGATCGCTATTAATTCACACATCTGTATATTGATAATAATTTGTAATTTACTATGTTAGTTGAATTTCGTTATGTGTGCACTTCAGTATGAACATCATTACCCACACGCTTAACAATCAACAGGCGTCACCGATGGCTTCGTGTGTTTTTAATTGTCATGCATTTTGTTGTCAGTCTCGTCCATTATCTTTGTGAAGTGCTGGAATAACGTTCTTTTAGTTTAAGCACTATTTTATTCAATAATCAGCAATTTGACAGATACAGATGATTTTATTGGATGAGAAATCAAGCTTAGAACCTATATAAATTCCTTTGCCATGTACATACAAAAGCAAATATAAATCTTCGAAACTGTAACACCTAACATCAACGTTGTATGGAAAAGTAATATTTACACATAACAATAACATCTATAAACAGACGCACATAGAATAACAAAATGCAATTTCTAACATAAGTAGTGACGCCTTAACTTATCGGTCTGTAAAAAGGTTACCTTTTAGAGCTATTTTCTAATATATGTAACAATACATGACGTACAGTTTGATAACTAGAACAATAGGTACAAGAATATTAGCTAAGACGTTTACTAAGTTTGATATGATTTTGTACTGTCAAGAATATTCGTTCAATTTTCTGTTTTCAGTAAGAGTCGTTTCCAAATAGTAGAGTTTTTTTCGGTTAAAGGAGTATATATAGCTGAAATAAAGTGTTTTGTTGAGTTATGTTATAATTAGCACAAGACGATAAGAAATGGTGAGTACTTTCTATTAACCCGCATGAACATAATGGACTTTCCTTCAGATTTCTTCAGTATAAATGTTGTTTAAGATTACTACATTTGAGCCTCGGTCTTGTATATAAATTTTGAAGGTTTCTACATCCAATAATAAAATATTGAGGGATCATTGCATTGTATTGTTTGTAAAAAGCCTTTAATTACCCTGACAGACGGATTTTCGCGAATATCAATTGGTAACGAATTATGGATAGGATCAAATACGTTAATCATTCAGATGTGAGATGTTTAGCTTTCTCGTAACCAAAGCCAATTCTCACTTTCATTATACATTATCGTCTGTTGGACACAAGAATTATGAGAATGAGATATATCTTCGAAAAAGGAATATTTATATTTTGATGGCTTAATAGTGTTAAACATATAAACAATCAAAACGTTTACAAATGCACTCACATTGAAAAGTAAGACTTTACTAATCTCGTAGCAATGAGAGTCCATCTTTTATTCTTAATATTAGGGTTGGGAAGAATTAATATTAAGAATAAAGGATGGACTCTCATTGCTACGAGATTTACGTAGGAGTAAACAGGCTTGATATACAAAAGTAGTAAATTGTGGTTTTGTCGTTGTTCTAGAAGAAAGTACCCATTTCAAACACATGAAAACACAAGAGGCTTAATAGGTCTGCATCTGTCTTCCGAGATTAAATGCTCATCTCGGGTATACGAGCATTTCACACTACGGTTTAAAAAAAACATCAAAATACTTACCTAAACCTTTCAGCTAAATATCGTGATTTGAGGCTTAAGATGTTCATCAGTAACACTGGGCATTCTTGGCAGTTAGTAACAAAAAGTCATTTATAGTTTTTTCTCTAAACAAAATAACAAAATAGATCACTGTGACTTTGAATGGTGACGAAGATCATTTTATTCTCTAAAAATGTAGAGTTCATTCCAGAATCTATAAAACATACGCCTAACGCCGTGCGACGGAAATACCTTCTCATGACCATTCAGGCCTGTCATGACATTCCATGATTATCTTATAAATATAATGACTGTAATATTTTTATTTTGTACTTGCATCGAGATGTATTTACACAGGGTTAACAGCGTAATTTATGTGTTGCGCTTAAATCATTGCAATGTGGAATCTTATTCCACTTCGATTTATAAAAAACAATAGCAACTGTTAAATAAATAAATAAGATAAATGTAAATGGAACTTCAGAGTAACAGTATCTATCATGTTTTAATTGTATCTATTATGTTTTAACTGATAATTTTGAGTGGAAACCATATTTAAATAGGTCTTGCACGTATTAACAGAAGATTAAACCACCTTTTAAAACAAACAAAACAAATAACGCAACTAATGGTGACAGACTCTTCAAGGACTACCTGTCATCACGCTTGGGACATCCCTGTGTAAACAACGTCTCGCCATGTCTCTGGTCTATATTGATCTTAGTAATGAGTGTTGCTTACTCCAATGATCAATTGCTAAAGCCATTTCATTAATGACAGCAGATCAGGTCAGTCACTTTAGAGAGCAAGCCGTTCTACCAAATATTAACTTAACTTGACAACGGCGACATAGTGGTGAGAATTTACTATTTCACTGTGCAAATTCCGGACTCATTACATAAAGAACAGGTAAGGTGCATATTTATTAATACAATGTCTTAAAAACACCTTAGATAGTATTAATGGTAATAACTGTTTTGTTTACAGAAGTAAAAACAAACCGTATCGTCTGAAACCAACATATCATTTATATTTAAATCTACATGCAAACATCTAGTATATCTAACACGCACTGACATACACATCATTTCATTTATTGCATATTACTTTAGCGATCGCTTAAGTACAACAAATCAGTACTTTATGCTATCAAGTAAATATGAGCGTTATGGCGACATTAGATAATATTGTGTCCCTCGACACCTATATGTTAATGTTTCTTGGCAGGTCATTTCCACCGTCATATTTATATCCCTTTCCATTTTACAGTTGGTGTATATTGCAAGAAAAATGACAAAAACTTCGACATTTATTTTTTTGGTGACTTATATCTACGTTATCTCAACGCTTGCACATTCACAAGGAACCAGGTATGACCTGATGAGATTAAGGGATACGCTGTTCCAGAACTACACAAAGGACTTCCGGCCAGTCTATAACCTGAGTGATTCAATAAACGTATCACTTGAAATGTTCCTAATATCCATTATAGACCTAGACGAAGTCACTGGGACAATCACGCTGAACTGTGCAATATCAATGGTATGGACAGATGATCAGTTGGTTTGGAACCAAAGTGACTTCGCAGGCATCACTTCATTTGTGTTTAACTCATCATATGTTTGGAAGCCTAGAGTTTATATTTCAACATCTTCAGATGATTTAACTGATTTCTCTTTTGACGCATTCGATGTTAGAGTTTATTCAAATGGAACAATAACGTCTACGCCTGGCCGACACGTGAGGTCGAGCTGCCTCTTCGATATGACCAAATTCCCATCAGATTCGCAATTATGTACACTCCAAGTCATACCGTGGACTCATCCAGCTTCTGAAATGACATTTATTATAGCAAACCCAGAAATCAACTTGGCTTACTACAAATCTAATGGAGAGTGGGACATCGACTGGACCAGCGTGACAAACAACACAGATTCTGGAACATTATATTCTGTAATAGATTTTTCCATTCACCTGACAAGACGGTCCGCATACTTCCTCGTGTCTATGACTACGCCAGTACTTCTTCTATGTTACCTAAATCCCTTTGTTTTTCTATTACCGGCCCCATCAGGGGAGAGAATATCTTACACTATTACAATATTCTTGTCATTGGCTGTCTACATGACAATAATTGGAGACAACATGCCACAGATTTCAGAACCAATGGCAGGGATTTCCTATTTCCTTCTTGTGGCTATGTTATATAGCTCTTTGCTAATCCTGCTTACAATATTCACTCTTCGCTGTGATTATGTAATTGACAAACACGAGTTCCCTGACTGGGTGTTGTGGCTAGCCTCAAAACAAGGGCCACGCAAACGACTCGACAATAAAGTAAACATCGCTAAGGAAATCAATATTGTTCATGTGAAGGAGCATCACGATTCAAAAGATGATACCATTACTGTTGGAGAACATGAAAAGGAAAATGGTAACAATAAAAGCGACGTTATGATCGTAATTGACAGACTTCTGTTTTGGATAACACTTTCGATGATGGTTGTTATATCTTTGGTATTTTCGATTTACTTCTGGGTTTGATTTCATGGAAGTGTCACTGAACATGTTCACCTTTGAAAAGAAGGCTTTTGGGACCTGCCATGGTGTTAGTATCGAACCAGGAACCTGTGTGGTTTATATATTAGCAATATCATACACCAAACTTTTGCAGATGGTGATCAAGAGCATTTCGGGAAATTTCATTAAAACACCGAATGTTGGGTGCTAATATTGTTTCAGCAAACATTACGTACAGTTGTACTTGATATTTATATCGAAACGGCTGTAAGCGGAATATTCTTTTAAATTGTGGTAAGTCATATATAACTTGTTTGTGATTATTTCATAGTAGCAAGCGACCATTTAGTCAGCAATATTAATAGATAATATTGCAAAGTGTAAGTCATCGAAACTGGAAGTCCGAGGTTAGAAACATCATTAATGTCCAATAATTCAAAATACATTTTAGCCCATGCCATTCAAGGTCCGCCCGTCTTGGGACATTTCCATGGCATATTTTGGCATATTTCAAAACCGTTCACGATAAAAGTTGTCTCGAAAACCATTCAAAATCGTGCAAAGAATTTTTCTACACTCTTCCATGGAGCGGTCTTGTAGTACCCTCTGCTAAAATGAAGTTTTCAATTTTGACATTTCTTCGGATAACATGGAAACAGATAATCGGATTCACTTATTTAAAAATCTCGAAAGCATTTGTCATTGACTTTTCCAGATACAAAGAAACATCCCACACTTAATTCAGTGGTGTCGTTGTGCCTTATGCTATAGGAGTTTCCCGTTTCGTTTTGCTTGGTTTCCTGTTGAATTTCAAATTCAAAAGTTTTATAGAACATATCTGGAACACCGTTTAAACTGTTCAACCAAGTAAGTGGTAGGGGAGAAATTATGCCAGAAAATGAGACAATTTCAATTACTTTCTCGCAAGTTTATTAAGACCATTCCACCACTGGGTATTCGAATTTCCCTCATTTAAAAGAAACAAAGAAATTAGAGCTGTTATCCATTCAGACTCTCTTTCTGTACTACAAAGTCTTCGCAATTGAAATATCGAAAATAGTTTTATCCGTAATTCATTAATACTATATCATGAACTTGCCGTTAACATTTGTGTTGTCTTTAGCTGGATTCCTGGGCACATGGGAATACCAGGCAACGATAAAGCAGATCGCAAAGGAAGCTTTATCGCTACCACCTGTTGTTTTTAAACTTCATTTCACTGATGTAAAACCATTTATCAAACAAGTTTTAATAGGTCAGTGGCAGGAAGAATGGAATCAATAAACTTATGATAAATTGCATTCCATATAACCTATCATCGGTGAATGGTCTTCATGCTATAGAGACAACCACCGAGACGACGTTGTCCTTGCCCGTCTTCGCATTGGTCATACATACCGTACATATTCAGATATGTTGAAAAGCAAAGATAACCCTCGGTGCATAGGATATGATGAGCCATTCACCGTTAAAACATTTTTTATTGGACTTTATTGATCTTCTGTCTACTCGAGAATCTTTTTATCGTAACGTTGCAAGTCTAAAGACCATTTTTGAAACTATTGAGATTAATACAATTCTGGGTTATATGAAAGATATTGGTCTCTAATATAGACTATGACTTACAATTTTGATCTTTCGTAATGAGATAACAATTTAAGAAATTTAGCATTTGCCTTTTACGAATTAGTTTTTTTTTTCATTTTGAATCACAGTGTGTTTTACCGGTTGATGGCCTTAATGACCTTTTATGCGTTGACGGGTCGTTAATCCTGTAATTCCTTAGATACTGCAGATCAACCTAGACCAGATAATGTAGGACCTTATCGAGTATTATCTGCCCTTGGTTTTGTTTCTTGGGAGACATGCTTACCTGGCTTGACAGTCGGCATCAGTATCTATGAAATCCGTCAACAGTTTTGTACCTATTTTGAAGAGACTCCACAGAGAAAATTAATTTATGGAAAGTTCCATCCTGCAGGATCAGCAGTTACCATTAAGTAACTGAAGTGGAGTTCGCCTCACGATCCTAGACGCCATACCTTCAACCAACAACCTGTCTTAAGCACGTGCATCGTCTTTCAATATTATTTCAGGTATTCTTTTCGCATTAGTTTCGAACCCTAAAAATCATTTTTTCGCTAGCTACGCTGTGTTGATGAAGTGCTCACAACAGATACATAAATTACTTTAAATGTGTTCAAACTGTAAGATTTATTCAAATTTTTTTTTCGATAAAAATTCCAGTATTTTTCCAAAAAATAAAATCCGCAAATACGACCTCAAATTCGCTCATCTGAAATGATCGACATGTGTATCGGACATGTAACTGCACTTCCATTTCTGATGACATACTAAATTACAGAGACTTTGAGTTTGCTTATGGTGACCAAGAAATAAACATGTATTACATTAAATCATAATTTGATGTTTTTATTGTTTTAACCTTTTCCTCAAATATTTGTTGGTTTACTTCTTTTTTTTCATAACACAAATTATTTAGATAATATTTAATTTTTCATCTATCGGTCTACATAAAATCGTGAATGGTCGTTCCGAAATATATTTCGGTCCGGAACCGATGCTCAGACGATATTTCAGGAAATCTTTTTTTGTCAGAATGAGACTCTGTAGAAATACAAAAAACAGTGTTGCACTTTCGTTTTCGCCAAAACCTAATTCTATTGATCTATTATCTTCAGTGAAATCGCTAACACATTTCCTCGCCGATTGCACATCTCTTTCTGCCATTCTTTCTTAAGTAGACTCGCATGAAAGATAAGTTCGAGTCGGCGCGTTCGGGTAGGATTAACAAATTCGTACCTCTGGTTGCCTTATCTATTATTATTGTCTGATTTAGCAAGAGTACGCAGAGACATTAATCAGTACCTGATTATTTTCTTAGACAGCTGGATATTTTGCTTACAAATTATACAAAATATTGCATTGACATCATACTAAAGTAAGTGTCATTTGAAGCCAGCGCGAAACATCATTTTTATTGCCATCAAATAAATCATTTTTTTAGTTATATATGACTTATACGTGTTGCGTTAGAGTTTCATATAAAAATGTATTTTGTTAGGAAATCGATAAAAATGTGTCGTGATGATAATTAAAGGGTGGGGGGTAACTCTTATGAACGAAAGACAAATATATCATGGAAATATTTTTAGTTATAACCATACAATTTGACAATGAAAAATATACAGACAAGTCTTGCAAAAGAAACCGTTTACAATTAAATACGATTACACGTGAACACAGGTTTAACATTTATCGACATATTTTGCTATCAGAAGATAATTAAAAGCTGAAAAATATATCATTTGTAATGAAATGCGGTTTGACATTATCATATTTAACATTTTTTTCATTAGGTCAAGATTATAATGATAAAATTGTATTTCCATGATTTAACTTTTTGTCTTATTTATCTTGAGATGGAATTTATCAGTTTATTATACTTTTCAATTACAATTTAATTTTATTTATATATGAATACTTAACATTAAAAAAATAATGAAAACAGTACATTCTACAAAACACATACAGCACAGGAACATGGGCATTTATCATATTTGTTCATAAAGTAATAACATTAATCCTAATATATTTCAAATAACATTTTATTACAAAAGTCGTACAGTACAGCATTTTAAGAAACATTATGAAGGGAAATGTCAGCGTGTGTGTGAGGGTGTGATGTGGTGTGTGTGTGTGTGAGCGTAAACTACATGCATGTATTATATATTATTATATATTTATATGTAAATGTATTACTTTTTTGCCTATGAGCCGTAAGGCTCCTGGCTAATAAAGAATCTAAAAAAAAGCTAAGTACAGTTTCCTCCACAATCATCGAATCACGGACAATACAAAATATACACGTTTTATCACATTTTCTCTTCATTGTCTGCAATGTTCTCATCGTCGAAACAGTACAGTAGCATCCCAGCTTGTAGGTATTTTGGCACTTTTTGTAAACATTTTATTGTCAAAATATGTAAATGGACTTGGCACAAGTTACAAGAACATTATTAATGTATTTTCCTGTTGATATGAATGAACACATATATAAAGCATAATATTGCTTAACTACATTGAATTTTACATGAAACTTTGGCTTTGTCTCAAGGGAAAGAGGGGAGGGGCATGTCTTGTTCGTGTATTGACGAGTTAACTTCTGAAGTTGGATTATGCATCTTACACTCCTGGTCAACTTTCATTGAAATACTGTTTTTACTTTGTAAGAAAATCATATATGAGAAACCACCTGAAAGCAGTTGAGCCTAGATAGGCATCGCACATTATAATTACATAGCCCAATTAACAGTATAGTGGAGAATAACAACAGATAATTATACCAAACTCTCTATGCATTGTTAGGTAGCTGTCATACACCATCATTACCGGAGTCCAAATAACTAAGATTGACAATAATGTGTCACACTGTTGCACAAGTGGTAAAACGTTATTATTAGGGCTTTTCACTAAGTGGTGAAAAGACCTATTGTTTTTGTTCGGTTTCTTATTATTCTTATTATTATTATTATTATTATTATTATTCCAATTTTGTGGGTTCGTAATCTTTTAAATGTAAATATATAGATATACAGTCTATTCACCTATATGTAGATACGTATATGAACTTGTCGATGCCGATTTTTAAGTAGGTCAAAAATCCAATATGGCCGCCATGACGTCAAGTTAAAAACTTAAAAACGACGATATCTTCAAAATCGTTGATTATACAGAATTTGTGCAATTATATTATTTTTAGAGAATTTCCTTATCTAAATTTTTGTCATGACATGTTATCAGAGAATATGTCAAATAAAAAAGCTCGCTGTTGGGTGAGGTTTTCAAAATTTAACAAATTTTTATTTTTTTTTCAATTTTGAACTTTCTTGAAATTTTCTTCTTGTTTTGTTTTTCGGTAGATTGTCGCCAAAGAAGTGAAAAGCCCGCAAAATTGTTAGCAACAATTTCTAGTTTGTATTTGAATGTGTCTTTTACTCGTGTTCTCACCGTTTGTATCCTTTCCATACTCGCGTAAGCTCGCGTTTAATTTCGTTTTGTCTGGTATATATGTACATGTATATTATATCTAGTAGGCCCTGAATAGGCATTTTTACAATAAGTACATATTGGACGTGTCCCGGACAATGACAAACCACACGACCATTGATATATACTGTACAATTCTTCCTTTTTTGGCCTAACATTTCTTTCATTTCTTACTTCTGAATGTGTTTGAACTAAACTGAGGTATCTTCGATATCAATATTTTTTATTGAGGAGTAATACACACGGGAGAATGACTTGGGATAATAGGTTGTTTCATGAGCTCGGACGAAGATAACCCCTAGCACTGGCTATTCTACAGTAATCATATTATACCAAACTCTGGTAACGTTGTGAGGGACATGGTAGGTATCATACACCAAAATAACACGAGTCCAAATAACATTTAGGCGACAATAACCAGTTAAATTACAGAGTTAAGCCCAATGTCCAGACCTATAATTGCATATCAGGAAAGATGATGTTATTTCATTAATCACCATATTAATCAGTTATTCAATATTCAAAGTCTGACCTACCTGAAACTTTAAGTTCTTTTTGATGTTGCAGCACATCACATCTTAATCACAGTAAGGTGTATGTTGTGTACATGTTTACGGAAACATATCCACAGTGAATAAACTCTACATTTTTACTGATGGAAACACAAAGACAACTGGGAATAAACTTATATCTAGAGGTTAGACAGTAATAAATAATATTTGTTATACCATTATTCTATATACTTTTCTATAGTGAATAAAAGCTGAAATTCCAGATGTTTGCCCCAGATACATGGTTACCCGTCAACATCACGATGTTCACTGACTACGTCACAGCTCATTACTGTTCGGTACTTTCCCGGTTGTTACTCGACAATGACTCCCCCCCCCCCACCCCACCCTCCTAACCCCCTACCCGACCCCTCACCCAAGACTTGACCATCGAGTTTCGCCATTTCATGTGGTTTTTTTAACAATAAAACTGTCCCTGCAGTTGTATTTAAAAGTGAAGGGGATGGTGTGGACTTGTTTGTTAGACGTAACACTATTTAGCAGAGATAAATCAGAGTAAGTCATCTGGAACTGTTTTTGTCAACAAGTTTGATGACCACCTGGTATTAGCGCGAGGGGAGACAATACAACAGAAAATTGATGTTCGGTGAAATGTCTAGTTATAGAGGGCTGTGTTTAACATGAACGACGTTATGTACAATTTGCTGGAGTTATGATGTTAAACATAACGGAATAAATATTATTAATTATACTGGAGTTGTAATCCTTATTAACATTTGCTTTAGACATATGCAACCAAATACACATGTAGCAGATACATTGTTTAAGAATCTATCATTGAGAAGAAAAAAAAAACAAGAAAATTAGATAATCACGTGAAAAATATGGACAAAGGAATTATTTGCACGGAGACTCATGAAAAGCACAAGGCCAACAATATAAGATGTACCGGAACAGTAAGCGTCTTCTGCTTCATCAATGACAGCCGCGCCACGTATATCTTGGCCAATGCAAGAAAGTAACATCTAGTTCTCAAATGAGAACAAGGTTTAAAACAACGGAACCCACAGGCAAACTAACGATCATTAAACATGTCTGGCTTTTATATCGTACAGATGATTCATAACTGATATCAATTCTATCACTTTTATCACGACCGTAAAATTTCCCCAGAAATATTAAACATTTAAAATACATCTTATATTAAGATTATTTATTTGTGTACAGACTCTAATAACTACACTTTTGATTCGACGGTTTCATATTGCTTTAAATTTCGTTTTGTTATCAGATATTTAAAAGTTTAAGCTGTTTTGATGTGGCATTTATCATCGTTATAAATGAAACAACTTTGATATCGTATATCACCTTACGTGTTGACAGGTGATATGCTATGTTATGAGGTCATATACCTCGCTACACGTCTACCTCTGGTTTCCTTGCGTGTTGATATGTTGTTTGTATATAGGCCGTATACTACATTCCTCTTTGTGTAAAGTGGGGTTAAAATCCTTACCATGTAGAATGTTTTGTACAGTTTACAAAATGAATCCAACACTCAATCCGCAATCGAAACTCGATATGAGGTATAAAAATTAAGTTAGAAAATGCAGGACACGTTTCAGGACAAAAAATATTCACCGGGAATAAATCAATACTTTCAAATGTAATGAATGATTTATTGTCAGTTCGGTACTATGAAAACGTATTGATTTGTCATGATATTTAAATATTGATAATAACTCGGCGTATTGTTATATATTTTATTGAACTCATTTGCAATTTTTCATAACATTAGTGAATGCAGACAGTTACTAAATACAGCGAACCACTGGCTGATAGTATCTTGATTAGATTAAATAATGTGTATTATTTATTTCAACATTATTTCTCTTTAGAATCAAACCTTTTTCTTTCATATTTTCTCTCGATGGCTCCATGTTTTGAAGTCTTGTGGTACTGGTTGATGATAAAGGTTAGATATTGATTAAAATTAAGATCAAAAGGTTCCTCTGTAATTTGATTTTAATCAAATTCATCGTGACGCTTGGATTCCATTTTGGTCGTCAGTGTCGCATGTCCTTATTAATCGGCAACCTGCTTAGAGTTGGACCTCCCTAGCGATGGTAACTAGGGAAGCCCACACCTCCTCCCCACTGGGAACAATCTGCTCTTCTCCTATGATAAATCCAGACTGCGCCGACGATGCCGTCGCGGGGCGAAGCTCGTACGTGTACGAGTATTTCACCCCAGCTTTCGCCTTGGCCCAGTCATAGGTGCCTCCAGACACCGCGTCTACAACATATAACCCGGAAATAGTTACAAATTTCTTGCTTAATACATCGAATTTTGAAATTATTTCTGTAAAAACATTCATGTATTGTTTTTAACTTCTGCAAATTAAATCATTAAAGATTACTGTATTGCTCCTTAATCCTAAAAAAGCCGGTTTTAGAAATCAGAGAGATTCTGTTACATGAAATTCGAGACAAAACATGGTACGATTTAAGTCTCTCTATAACAATTCCAAACAGATTGTTAATGCTAGCTAATATACTCACCATCCCCACCCCCACTTTTTATTAAATCCGCTGTACTTACACAGGATTTCTGGTGGTGTGCCGACTTGAAAGGTTTTCCCGTGAACCGCCTTCAAGGCAGCCATGCTGGCATCCGCAACGCGTAACTACAACCGGAAATGACAACGGTGGTATTACAGCGTTGGACCTTTTTCTTAGAGGCGTTAGCATACGTGTATCATATATAGCGTTTCTAATCATGATTATGAAAAGTCGTGGTAATGACTACGAATAGTATCAACAGATTAGAAATGCAAAAGTACATACATGGAATTAATAAAGACTTATATACAGCAAATGTTATATCTCAAAAATGTGTACAAGATCTAAACATAGAAAAAAAAATGTCTCCTTTTACATGTCAGTAAAATGGAGCGTGAAGCGGAAAGTGTCTTGACTTCTCTAAAGTAAAGAAAAATCACACATGATGACCAGGATAACGGAAACATGCATTCATTTGTGACACAGAACTTCCAGGTTAAAGCTTACCATTTCTTGGTAGTCAGATGGTTTATTGGACGTATAACCATAGGGAGTTAACATCAGCTGAGAATAGGCATGAAATGACAGGAAAACAACAACCCGGTCACGTACGTTCATAATAGACGTCTGGATATTGGCAGTTTCTGGTTCCGAGAACGCGTATTTACCAGGATATGTGTTTGAACATGGGTTGCTACTTGTTCCGGCTCCTGTTAGAAATATTGTTTTTAAAAATCTTTAATTCGGGGTTGGGTCATTTTTAGATCAATGACAACAAAATGTTATTAGTTTTTAAACCTCATTTGAGGTTTGGTTTTCCTGTAACAATAAAAGTTACATAAATAATGTGTTGATTCGTGTTTACTTTCTAAACACGTGATGATGTCTGAACACAGTGTCATGGTTTTGATATTAATTACATAACATAAACATATGTATAAAATAAGATTATATTTATTACAAATGTAGACGTTGGGTCAAGAGGTCATTCAATATCTTGCGCTAAAAGATCACCAAGTACTTCTTTTTTATTTTGATTTTTTGATAATTCCACAAAAGTTCGTACACAACATTTGTAAAACACAAACCTTGACAATCTTACTCAAACGTGCATTTTGTCATCAAAGAATTAAATACGTAGTTAAAGCACGGTATGTCCACTAGAAATAATTTTGACATTTTAAAAAAGTCCTGGCGTATACTGTAAAATCGTTGTTTTTTGTTAGGGTATTATTTTCATTGATTTCGTTGGCAAACTTAATCAGTGATTTCAAATTTCCTATTTGTACCCGCAGGTTTATTGAGATTTATCTTTCAACATAATCAAGCGTTCAGGAAATCAGTTTAACACGATAACTGAGCCCCATTAAACATTTTACAGTAACCGTGATCCACTAATACCTCCAAACTCTATGTCAAAGTTTCTGTTCGGGTCTACACCCATACAGCCTTGATCCTGTGGACTCCTTGTCTTCCTCCAAAGTCGATCCTGCAGTGTAGCAATACATTATTATTATCATCTTTTTTATCAAACTTATGCAGTGAGTTTATTTTAGAGGTTTCACATAGTCCAAAATGACCTTAAAGTACACACACGGGAGCATTTTACCTTCACAGTCAAACCAAATCGAAAAGTTTCTCTCAAGCTGTATAAAATTAGAAATAAATTGAAAACCTCTAATAACGGCTTTGTTGTACTTAATTATCCTCTCCTATTTGTATGACACGATTTGAAGTTTCTCTCCTAATGTTGTTGAATTGCCATTAAAACTAAAGGTTTGTGATTATATCTAAAAAGTGGACGTAGCGCTAATTTTTCTAAAGCGCGGTGATATCTGTTCATCTGCAATAGCATAATGACCTCTAAAATAAAGCCATGACTACTGATATCGTTTACTTATGTAGTCACATGTACAAATTGTATATACCAATGTTGTATACTTGCGTCTGTAAATGTGTATTCGTATCCATCCGGGTTGGCAGACGGCAGGAAATACCAATCAAATGTATCCAGCATGAATGTGACGTCATCATCTGTACCGTAGTTTCGTAACATCTGATAAACGTACGAAATTTGATCAAAATGATTGTGGCAATTCCTTGAAAACACAATTATCCTATGCTAATGTGTGTAAGAACATGTTCTCTTTACGAGAACGACCTGGACAAGTTTCTGTCAAATCAAGACGTTAGTTTAACTTGCGCCTACATATAACAAATACCTGTCTATAGTGACTAACACTAAATATATATATAGCCACGTGTGTATAACAAATAACCATCTATATAAGTCACCTGTATAGGACACATACCCGTCTCCAGTAGACATCTGTATATAACAAACACTTGTCTATAATGACATCTGTATATAACAAACACTTGTCTATAATGACATCTGTATATAACAAACACTTGTCTATAATGACATCTGTATATAACAAACACTTGTCTATAATGACATCTGTATATTACAAACACTCGTCTATAATGACATCTGTATATAACAAACACTTGTCTATAATGACATCTGTATATCACAAACACTTGTCTATAATGACATCTGTATATAACAAACACTTGTCTATAATGACATCTGTATATCACAAACACTTGTCTATAATGACATCTGTATATAACAAACACTTGTCTGTAATGACATCTGTATATAGCAAACACTTGTCTATAATGACATCTGTATATAACAAACACTTGTCTATAATGACATCTGTATATAACAAACACTTGTCTATAATGACATCTGTATGTAGCAAACACTTGTCTATAATGACATCTGTATATAACAAACACTTGTCTATAATGACATCTGTATATAACAAACACTTGTCTGTAATGACATCTGTATATCACAAACACTTGTCTATAATGACATCTGTATATAACAAACACTTGTCTGTAATGACATCTGTATATCACAAACACTTGTCTGTAATGACATCTGTATATAGCAAACACTTGTCTATAATGACATCTGTATATCACAAACACTTGTCTGTAATGACATCTGTATATCACAAACACTTGTCTGTAATGACATCTGTATATAACAAACACTTGTCTGTAATGACATCTGTATATCACAAACACTTGTCTATAATGACATCTGTATATAACAAACACTTGTCTGTAATGACATCTGTATATCACAAACACTTGTCTATAATGACATCTGTATATAACAAACACTTGTCTGTAATGACATCTGTATATAACAAACACTTGTCTGTAATGACATCTGTATGTAGCAAACACTTGTCTATAATGACATCTGTATATCACAAACACTTGTCTATAATGACATCTGTATATCACAAACACTTGTCTATAATGACATCTGTATGTAGCAAACACTTGTCTGTAATGACATCTGTATATAACAAACACTTGTCTGTAATGACATCTGTATGTAGCAAACACTTGTCTGTAATGACATCTGTATATAACAAACACTTGTCTGTAATGACATCTGTATGTAGCAAACACTTGTCTGTAATGACATCTGTATATAACAAACACTTGTCTGTAATGACATCTGTATGTAGCAAACACTTGTCTGTAATGACATCTGTATATAACAAACACTTGTCTGTAATGACATCTGTATGTAGCAAACACTTGTCTATAATGACATCTGTATATCACAAACACTTGTCTGTAATGACATCTGTATATAACAAACACTTGTCTGTAATGACATCTGTATGTAGCAAACACTTGTCTGTAATGACATCTGTATATAACAAACACTTGTCTGTAATGACATCTGTATGTAGCAAACACTTGTCTATAATGACATCTGTATATAACAAACACTTGTCTGTAATGACATCTGTATATCACAAACACTTGTCTATAATGACATCTGTATATAACAAACACTTGTCTGTAATGACATCTGTATATAACAAACACTTGTCTGTAATGACATCTGTATCTAGCAAACACTTGTCTATAATGACATCTGTATATCACAAACACTTGTCTATAATGACATCTGTATATAACAAACACTTGTCTATAATGACATCTGTATGTAGCAAACACTTGTCTATAATGACATCTGTATATCACAAACACTTGTCTATAATGACATCTGTATATCACAAACACTTGTCTATAATGACATCTGTATATAACAAACACTTGTCTATAATGACATCTGTATATCACAAACACTTGTCTATAATGACATCTGTATGTAGCAAACACTTGTCTGTAATGACATCTGTATATAACAAACACTTGTCTGTAATGACATCTGTATGTAGCAAACACTTGTCTAAATACAAAACAAAATAATTACATCTAAAGACACACCTGTCTATTACGACCGGTAACTTTTTTTATATTTTGGCCATTAAATAATAAAATGTCACAAAAATCCTGATGTACAAGTAGATTCAGGTGTTCATATTTACACAATAGTAGGTTTGTGCAATACAGTATGGTTAAGTAGAAGATATATTGTAGAATAATTTGATCAGGTCTTCATGATTAAAATGTTATTTGCTGATATTTTCGAGGATAAGGGTAGTTATGTTATGACATCATGCGGTAAATACTTGTTACAAACCTTATCAATGGTCCAAACAGCCACAGCCGGAGATATCCATTCACGCGCATGGATTCCAGCTTCAACCCAGATCACGGGCTTGACGTTCGGGGAGGTTTTGCCGATCTAGTTAGAGTAACGAAGACAAGATATTGCATTTGAAGGGCGACAACTCAACAACCTGTACACGAGGTTCCTTTCATATCTGACAAATTCTTTTAATGAATACACACATCAGCAACCTTAGATCACCATGAACATATATTTTTAAAAAAACAAAATAAGTGTACAAAGAAAAAGATAAAAAAAATCAAATGAAAAAAATTAAGATGGTCATTACAGATTTAAAAGGGTGTAGATTTCAGGGAATAAGATAGACATTTACAACAGTAAATTACAGTGTAATGGGTTAAAAAAAAACAATGTACAATGGTAATTCCGGGGGCGAAGTACTTAAAAGTATTTCATTGAATGCAAGTAAACATCGGACAAATTAAAAGAACATTGTAAAGTTTACAGGAATGTGTTGGTTTACTGGTAGTGTACGCAGTTCGTGTTGCATAATCTATCTGTCTAATACGTAACATACACTTGTTTCTGCATGAAATCAAGCCACAGTTTCAACGATATTCCTTGACGTATTGCCCAGAGACATTATAAGTTATTGCCCAGAGACATTATAAGTTATTGCCCAGACACATTATAAGTTATTGCCCAGAGACATTATAAGTTATGGTTTTCCTTGACTTAGGTATTGGTAGGTTACATTTTCTTCAGATAAGGAAGATTCGTGAAACTGGAGCCTGATAAAATTATACATTTTTATAAAGAACAAGACTTCTTGGTACAGATATTAGACAATACATCATATCATACTGCCTTAACACGATATAGACGTGTTTTTTTTACCTTGATGATGTTCATTTTACGACCTTCGTACGAGGTGCCGATGGATTCCACCGTGGCCAGCTGTCCAAACTCGGACGCCATGGCGGTCAACCAGTTGTCAATCTGATGTTAAATGATATTATAGACAAAACCTATATATTCTATAAAGTTTTCAAATATCACAGAAATTGTTTGTGTCAAGTTTTATAAAATGAGAACAATAAAAAAGATAAATAGATATCCAGCTACCACATTTTTATATGTGTTAGCCGAGCTGCTAGTTTTCTTATTTCTATGTAAAGCTTTATGATTTTTATATGAGTTTATGATTTCGAATAGTCAAAGATAAAGATGTAAGTGTTCCGGAATTATCTTACCCTGCAGATGATAAATTAACTAAAAATTACAAAGAACTTGCCTCAATATGTCGTGCAAATATGCCGACAATTTCACCAGATGGCGTTGTAGGACCACCTCCGGTTTCGTCTTCAGGACAGTTGATACCGAAAGCATCACACAGAAAATTGTAGGTTGCGTGACCAGTCCTAGACATCCGTGCGTTGGCCATGTCCTCAAATTCTTTATCTATCGATCTAATTCAAGTATTTATAAATAATTAGCATAACAACAGAAAACCTTTTTTCTCCTAGAAAATGCTTCAGTAGGATTACTGGTATAGAGGAATTCAAAATATACTGTATTGATCCAAGGAGTTTTGCTTTTCACGATACTTCGGCTTTCTTTATTACTCAGTAAATTAAGCCTTTTCTGAAACTTGTCAGTTTGTGAATGTTTGATATATAATTTGTGCTACACACTGTGGTCGTCATTGGCGTTATAACAGCGGAAGAACGATATTCGTACTTACGATTGGATATCGTCAATGGCAACACTTGCTGAAAGTCCCGCGTTTTTAATGAGTTGTTTCACGTACGACCTTGACCTCGGAGGGACCCGGATGTCTACATCATGGTCAAGAACAGGAAATGTCCAAAAATCAAGCTGAAGTAAGATTAATTGCTTATCAATTGAGGATCTTAAATACCGGGTATTAACTTAATTACAGGAGTGTTCTAGACTTAATTTTTTTATAAAATTTATTTGATATGATAATCCAAATTAATAGATATTTTTTTACCTTTTTAACATCAGGTTTTGATAACTTGTTCAAATCTCCCCTTAAACAATAAAACATATGTAGTATATCGTAACAAAACTCCATCATACCGACACAGATACTCTCATGTAGCCAAACATAAAACCCACGAGACAGACAGACATAGATTTATAGTTAAAACATAAGCATTTTCAAGATACTACCACGGTTGCCAAATAGTAAAACTTATCACTCCCTCATCCCTCTCTCCTAGTTATTCCGTTAGTTCTTACATATTAAACATTTGTGTTTTAACAGCTTATGAACTGTTAATGGCGACGGAATATCAAAGGCAATATAAACCAACTGAAGTTTCCTGCCCTTAAAACACTATAAATTTTGATCGAACAGAGCTCTATAATGTCTTAGCAAAACTTTTCTATGAGCTTCCCAGCAAGTGTTGGACACCAACTTGCTTTAAGGCATTTTGCTATAAGGTATTTTATATGCGGAAGGAACGATAATTTCCTGTCGAATATTTCGCCTAAGATTTTGGTTTGCTCAACAACCGGAAAGAGACATGTTTGGATCGTCGTGTTGTTTCCGAATTTGACAAAAATGCATACAAGCTGTTTTTGATTGTGAACATCTGCCCAGATTTGTAGTAGGTTCAAAAAGTTAAAGTTGTCGATGGTATTCATGTGCTTAGATCGATAGCATATGATGAAGTCATCGACATAAACAGCGCCCTCCGTTGAAGGGGATGATGTTTTGACAACACTGTTAATTTTGTGTCCAAAACGTGAAACCGAAAAATATGGTACATCCATTTCTTGCTGATGAACATCCTGTTCTTATCCCGCAGACTTCATATGTCCGTAAATACCAACTGAAAGTGTCAGAATCGACACCAATATTTTTATTTCAGTTTACTAAAGTCCTCTTTTCTTTTAAACCTGTATATTTTGCTTTGTCTTGAAGAGATTTTCCCTCTGTTTGCCCGCCTCCAGGTAAGTACATTTTGTAGTTTGACCCAAGTTGAACAGTTGAACGGATATAAAATCAAACGTTTTCTTTTAAAAGTGCACTCTTTATCTCTAGCGAAAAACATAGATAGATTTTAATATGGTGTATAACATCGCCAATATATCCGCCAACGCATGAAATATTGTGGGTTATGTCCCTTGACTGAGACCAAAATATTAGTCTATAGGTTTGGTACCGTCTAATGCGATGATTAACGTTAAGCATTGCTCTGTCTGTTTTATTATAATGTGACCGGATGATGTGTCATGCTACCGTGTCTAGGTGATGCCATGTCAGTGTGATAATACTATAAAAAATGTTCTCTGTTGGCGCCATCACCCAGGAATACCGTCTTCATAAGACCCAAGGCAGATACGGCTTTGTTCCGAAACACACAACAAATTAAACGTCCCCCAAATAAGAACAGATCACCAGCAGTCACAGAATAAAATCAAAGCTACAGAATCGATGAGAACATGAATGTTCCATCTCTAGCCCGCGATTCTTATCATTGATATTGATCTTTGTTACAGACATCTGAAAAATAGACAAAAACGAATCAGAATCTAAAAAGGGAGTTCGGTATATCTGAATTTTACTCGCGATGTGTATTTCAGGGTAATTCAGCGGCACGTCCGGGCTATACGTGGAAATAAAAAATACCGACAGTATATCATGTTTAATGCTGTCTAGAATCAGTGTCACAGAGGTGTTGTGTACCTGTAGGTTTCCGTTGTCATGGAGTGTTCTGAGAAACTCCACCTGACGGGAAGTTGTGGGATGAACTCGAAGAAGTTGATGCCTGAAATAAATTGAAAATTAACAAGATAAGGTAACAAAATTTCTTGTCGTTTTTCAAAGATAAAACTCTTAGATTACGTGTGTGAAACGGGATATTTTAAAGTAAGGCCTGTCACTAAAGGCCAGTCAGCGGACCAGAAAACAGGTTGTCCTGATTGGTACGCGACCTTTAGATAGAGATCCGATTGCTATGAGTTGTATTGCATTAAGACCTGAAACCAGTTGTCTTTATAGACAGGTACTTCTTATATCAAGTATTTTCTGGAGTAGGTTTGATTGTATTGATAGCAACTGACAAAATAACTTTATTTTCATGGATAGTCTTTTCAGGTCACTGATTAAAAAATAGACGTTAATTGTTTATACACAAAATGAAAGTACGCGACAAGGTAAGCATAAGCAAGCGTGGACAAAATGGCAGCAAATTTTAGGCAAGGAATCGTCACGTGACTCAACAAATTAATGTATACGTATACAATTAAAATTATGTAGTGATGACCTTTGATATTTACATACTGAAGCCATGACCCTTGATATTTAAATACGATGGTCATATAATGAGGACTATAAATAGCTGTAACAGATGTCAGATCTAAAATCTAGTATCGATAAGGGGAAATGGCTGTTTAATATAAACTTGTTCGTGTGAAAATGACCGATGTTTAATCAAGCTTGGTATTATCCAGGTCTGTCTGTCTGTCGCATTTGGACCGTACGTCCGTCTATCTGTCTGTCTTTATGTATATACAACGTATTTGTTTGTTCGCCATATTCAAGTTGGTCTGTTCTTTACGGTTCCTTCCGTGGGAGTCAACAATAATGTATATGTATATATGTACTTATAACCTCCATATAGAATCTCATGGTGAATAAATCAGGACTTACTAAAATAGTTACATCTATACAACTACGATAAACAAATATGTTAAACATTCAACTTACTGTCTACAAATATATTTATATAAGCGATATTAACTAAAGCATACAGCATACAGACTGTGAGTTAACTATGTATTTATAGAGACAATAAAACAGTTATAATCCTAGGCACGTTCTTTAGGTCTTAACTTATTTTCTCGCTAAAACATTTTAACACAAAAACAAAACAAAACAAAAAACGGAGAGATAGTCATATTTCATCTAACTGGTCGCTTTGTCTGATGTCATCTTGACCCAATTTTATAATTAAGGCTGACAAAGCAAAAAAAAATCACGTGTTTGCATATTTTTTGGAATGCTTCCGAGACCTCCTCCCTAAGCTAATGATATTTTCGGACATTGTATCTAAGGAAGTGGCGACCTTTTAAGTCCAGGGCTTGCTTGAAAAAGAATAGGGGCATCCGAGGGTATAAAAGGCCTGCCACCTGTCCGACCGATTATCTTTTTAACACTGACCGCCCGAAGTGAAACTCATCTGTATATTACATGTAGGCGTGACTCAACAGGAGTGCGCTCACCTGAGGACTTTGAAGATGATAAGTTCTTTTCAGCTATCCAAAAATATAAATTCAGAATTAGGGGGCATCTCCGAAGTTTTTGGGAATCAGAATTTTTATTTATCTCAAAAAGAACTCTTTTTTACTTTATTTGTCAACTTTAATGTGTTTTCGTCTTTAATGAACATAGCATTATCATACCGGATTCCGTTTTGTCTGAACACAATTTAACATCCGGGCATCCGCAAGGGTCATGAGAAATGATGCAAAGAGGATCACCGAGAGAGGAGATAAATTGTCCAGATCCCAAGTGTTTCGGCAATGTTGGCATCACATCTACTTCGATCTCCCCGATATCCTCTCAGAGAGTAGAGGACGCAGGGGAAAAACCCAGATTCTGCAAGGACCCCACTGTTAGTTGTCTCACGTACACGTGCAGAGGAATACATCTGACGTTATTATTAGGCTATTCCCGAACAGAAGACATCCGAAAAAGCATTGCCGCCATGGAGGGTGTGTCCCACAAAACGTCGCCTCTTACGACATGCAATGAGAGATATAGTATTTCCCGTCGCCAATCCCAATTAAATAATAAGTGGGTGTGTCGATACAATTTTATCCCTAGCAGGGAACAAAATATAAAACAGACAGGGAGAACATTAAAGCTGAAGTGATTTGTCCTTCCAGAATTCTACATGGACACTCAGGGCGGCAATATTCGTCATAGATATAATTAACTATATATATGATAAGTCTGATTTGTGTACCCCAATTCTATATTTTGCAGAACATCTCTATCAGAAGTTAGATTATAACGGAACGCAAATTCAAAAGTAGATTTTTTTATCGCCATACGCGTAGTTTAAACAAGGAACAATTATTTAAAAATTAGAATGGGCGAGTCCGAAATGGATTTATAATTTGTCATTGTCTGTTACAGTGGCATTCATTTATCGTAATTATGTTCAGTTGAGTGGAAGACAGTAATAAAATCTGTGTATAGCGGTCACTAAAGAAATGGCGAAAAGTGGCCTTTATAGACAGGTAACACTTATATAGAGATTAAATACAGGAATGAGGCCTTTATAGACAGGTGACTATTATATAGAGATTAAATACAGGAATGAGTGGCCTTATATAGATTAAATACAGGAATGAGGCCTTTATAACACTTATATAGAGATTAAATACAGGAATGAGGCCTTTATAGACAGGTGACTATTATATAGAGATTAAATACAGGAATGAGACCTTTATAGACAGGTGACTCTTATATAGAGATTAAATACAGGAATGAGGCCTTTATAGACAGGTGACTATTATATAGAGATTAAATACAGGAATGAGGCCTTTATAGGCAGGTGACTCTTATATAGATATTAAATACAGGAATGAGGCCTTTATAGGCAGGTGACTCTTATATAGAGATTAAATACAGGAATGAGGCCTTTATAGACAGGTGACTATTATATAGAGATTAAATACAGGAATGAGGCCTTTATAGACAGGTGACTCTTATATAGAGATTAAATACAGGAATGAGGCCTTTATAGACAGGTATTTAATGAAAAGTGGAAGCGGTTATCACAGGATTCAACACGTCCATGTAAAGAATGGAATAAAGAACAGTTAAATAATAGATAGCGTACGAAATAAATGGATCTCCGTTACTTACCCATCATATCGAGTTCCCTTCACTTGATCAGTGGTCAACACTGCCAAAATGACCACACAGACGGTAGCGTGATACCCGTACATGACTAGTTAAAGTCAGTAATGACCGTTATCGCATGTGTCCACGACTGATATACCCGTACCTGCTCAAGTGTCATCGAAACACCATTAAATTGTACCAGATGGGCCGTGGCCACTTCTGTCGGCACGCACGCGCAGTTAAATTTCATCATATTCGACATCAAAGTTGACTGACTTGGAAATATGGTCAGATTCTCACGATAATGCGACTATTTAAGTAAATTGTGTTCTTTGTAATTGCTTTACAAGAGAGTAATAATAATATCTGGGTCAAGCGACAATATGGCAACAACCGATATTCAAATTAATTATTGTTATTTGAAAAGGAAAATGTGAATTAAACAACTGCATCTGAAAAACGCTTAAATAATATTAATACTTAATACGTAGTTATTTCTGGTTTTAAGCTCAATAAACAACCTCAATCTATGGCAGCCCTAGGGAGAACACAGTATATCACTAACACTCTTTGTCAAGTGGTTTATATAATAACATTTAAATGATGTTTTTGCCTTATCTTTAGTGAACGATATTTAACCTAAACTGCAGAAAATAAGTTCTTATATTCAGAACTTTATTTATTGTTTCGAATTTTTACAATATGGAAATAAGAAAAAGATGCACATCTCTAAAATACTTTGATAACGAAATAAAGAAGAGACTAAGGAGAAAGATATCCAGTTCTATAAATAGTTCGATCGTTACAAACGTCTATTTACTTGAACAACATGTAATATTTAAAATGATTCTGAAACGGACCAATGAAAGGCCACATAAAGACAAATTCATTTTCAATATACTATACCATATGGCTATGTTATGGTTTATATTTCGTCCTCAAGATGGATATCACAGGCGTTTATTTACAACGTGAATTTACTCGCTTTCATTTCAAGAATTTTCTCCTTGTTAATTTTGACCATTTGTCCATAATTAATGATCCGGAAAGACGATGTTTTTTTTAAGTCTGTTAGAAGTCCGAAAGTTATGAGAATGCATCTCGAATTGATCGACATGGAAAAGTTCAATAATAGGCCTACATGACAGTATCCAAATTACTTTTCTTTTATAAACGACATGATAGTGTCATGGAAGAATGCATCCTATTCAACACCGGGACGTGTCTTAGTGTTCAGTAACCATTTTCTAATCATCACACGCAGTGCCTCCGTGCTGTATGGTCTTTCTCGCGGTTTGTTTATCTGCATCATAAAAATGCTTTATTTTTGTTATATTTTGCTGGCAAATAAAACGTCTGTACGGCTGAAAATTAGCTATCTCTAAAATTAAAATCCCCCAACCCCGGAAAAAAAAACCCGAAATTTTTCAGTTGGCGTGGACTAATGTTGATATGAGCCCAACTTTCGGACGCTCGACAAAGACTGGGGACTTTTTACACTTTTTTAAACAGAGTTAACTCCCTTCTTATACTGTTTGAATGTATTTTATAATATACTGTACTTAAAAGTATTGTAGCAGTCACGATATTTGTCTATTTTATAGTTTATTATTCCGGTACACGTGTATGTCATAGCTTTAATTTTGTAATGTAGCGTGTGTTTTTCCTTTTTTCGGATTCTTAATTTGTTTTGGTTATTTAAATTTTTCGCATTTTCTAAATTGTTCCTTCTGGTACCACTTCTGTTGCCTATGATTTGCCTTGTTCACATTGTGCTTCCGGGTCATTTTAATGCTGGCATTCCAATGCTAGCACTTGACAGACACTCGTTACGACATGTAAGAAACTTGTAGTAAATTAATTGTCTAAATTCTAATTGATCAGCTTCCTGTGATATTTTTACATTGTTTTTTGTTTATTATTGACTTGCTGTATGCACTGGTTATGCTATTTTACTTATTTCTATGGGCTGCTACTGTGTTTTGCGCGGAGCAATCTTTTTGATGACGTCATTAATCATATTCAGCGTAACATCGATTTCAGATGAGCAAAGATTGACAAAAACCTTTTGAAGTTTCGATAATCTGAATATTCAGTAAGTGTTTCAGAATAAAGAATTTGGCTCCAGATTTAAGACAATACTGACCCGCCAATATCTCGCTACTTTGGTATTCCTCGCCAAAATACACTTTATATTTTAAGATACCGATTACGTAATCCCTTCGTATTTGAAAAAAAACGAAAATATCTGGCCTCAAAACGTGTTAATTTATGATTGCCATGTTATACGTCAGGCAGATATGCATTCAGTAATAGTATCCGGCGAGTATAAAAATAGGGTAGTATTCCTCGACTTTAACGTGGAAATCCCATGCACGTGATCGAAAATGATCTGAATAGGACAGACTGATTGTAGATAAAGTTTGAGCTGGATAAAAAAGTCGGAGGTGGACAATTTGAATCAAGGTCTAGATGTAGTTGCGTCAAATAATCAATATATGTCAATGTAAAGGTCATAAGGTCGTGGTGAAAAGTAGGTCAACGCCAAGGCCGAGAGAAAGTAAGTTTTTAATCAAACACCTATACTACTATGAGGCAATGCCGCGTAAGTTCGGAAAAATAGTCACGTGATTATGTGACTGAAAAATGCGAAAACTCATTTTGAACAACGGAAAAGAGAAAAATCGAAAATGGCACAAATCGGCCACCAGATATAATTGTTTCTTAGTTATTTTGAAAGTTTTCAACTTGTCATGTCTTATCATGTGACACGTGTTAAAGGTGAGTGTCAGTTTATTGTGTAATAAAAAATAGCAAATTTAGAAATGTAGTTGTGAAATAAATTCAACATGAGTTGACATGTCAAGTGCAGTGTTTGTAGTCCTGTATCAGTTATAATTTGGGAATAGCCATAAGTTTCAAGTAGCAGGGAGACTTCTCTAGTGTGTATTTCTACGTAATGATACATGTACCAATATAACCTTTCTATTGATAAAAATACGGTCAGATTATAATCAGAGATAGAGTCTTCTTATAGGTAGCTGTACACAATTTTCGATGTTGCCATAGGTGATACTTTTGTTTATTAGATTTCCCAATTATAAAGCTTTTAATTAAAATTAGAAAAAATTGCTAAAATTGGTCTTGTCATGTTGAAGTGGACAATGCATGATTTCATTTTTTTCAAAATAATATTTTAGCTTTGTGTTTGAGATTACTATTTAGGCAGTCTCGAATCTGTGTCTACGCACCAAAGACTAGCATTACTGGAAGTGATATTTTTACGGTGTTTAAATGTGGTAATGTTGTGAAGGTTTTTCCTATTTGGAATTTGCTGAAATGTAAGTAGTTTGTTACCATGACAGTGTTGTTGATTTTAAGACAGGTGTTTAGAAATAAATTTCGTCTATAAAGCTGTAGTGTAAGGTTGGAATTAGCAGTATCTTTATGTTTTTTTTCAGTAGGTAACTATGGCAATCACATGTCAGAAATTAGAGGTTTTTTTTTTTTTTCATAAATACACATTTTGATTTTTCTACTATTAATGTAAATCATGTTTATAAATATATGTAGTATATAAAAACTGGTATATCTCACACAGACCAATAATTTCAGGAAAAATGCCTGTGTGTTTTAATTACAAAATGTGGTAAAATGTAATGTCATATCGCAATATCCTGTTCGTGTTTATATTGAAATCGAAGTGTTTTTTTCTGTAATTGTTTTAGTTTCCATGCGAGTCAATGCTATGATGTATATACATATATACGGAGTTTCGTATAAATGTCGAATTCCTATTTATCATGAAACCAGATTATGCTAATACATCTCCGTACACGTGGGCACATGCCTGTATCACGTGTAGCCCCGGGTTTGTATACATTTACACTTCCGTTTTATATGTACTTTACAATTAGCTATTTATAGTTTTATTGATCAAGTGGAATACGTGCAGAAAGTCGCGTTCTCACAAGGATACGTACTTGGTGTGGGTACCTAGTTTTTTTTATACTCGGGAGAGACAAACTGTCGACATGTTGAATGTAAGTACCGATATGTATGAATTTTCATTCTTTTATCTAAGTACTAATATTTTTTATAATTACATGTTTACCTGTGTATGGCAGATCAATATCATTAATCAGACGGATTTTTTTGTTTCTGTTTTTAAACATGTACAGGATAAGCTCAGATCATCTTTTACAATAATTCATCAAAAATATTGAAAAAATCAAAGAAAACAAAAAGCAAAAACGCAAGTGAAATCGTCAGTGTGATAATGATCCTTGTAAACAGGTTAGTTTATTAGTTTATTTGTTTGCATTTAAAGAAAAATTGGCTATAAACATTCGCTCTTTATAGACAGGATCTAGAAAAAGTTTATGATGTATTTGTAATACATGGAGGTTCTTTGTATGGCGGTCAAGGATATATATGACTGGTCTTTGTAGAAGGAGGACGTTATACGTGAGTGGTCTCTATCGAGAGGTGAGACTTAATAGACAGGTCGTCTCGGTTGAGAGGTTGTATTTACATATTAGTGGTCTTTATAGAGCGGTAGTACTTATAAATAGTGTAGAAGTAGTTCTACATAGAGAGGTATAATTAAAGGTTTTTTTTTGTAGAGAATAAAAGTTATAAACTGACTGGTGACCTTTACCCGCAGTGATAAATACAAAAGGGTGGTCTTAATAGGGAGGGATAGTAATGGCCTTGTGCCTTACAGGTAGTGATATCTATAGTCTAAGTACAAAGGTGGATGTAATCAGTGGATGGTCTTTGTAGAGAGGTAGTGTTTATAGACAGTCTTTGTAGAGAGGTGGTGTTTATAGACAGTCTTTGTAGAGAGGTGGTGTTTATAGACAGTCTTTGTAGAGAGGTAGTGTTTATAGACAGTCTGTGTAGAGAGGTGGTGTTTATAGACAGTCTTTGTAGAGAGGTAGTGTTTATAGACAGTCTTTGTAGAGAGGAAGCGTTTAAAGACAGTCTTTGTAGAGAGGTAGTGTTTATAGACAGTCTGTGTAGAGAGGTAGTGTTTATAGACAGTCTTTGTAGAGAGGTAGTGTTTATAGACAGTCTTTAGCGTTTATAGACAGTCCTTGTAGAGAGGAAGTGTTTAAAGACAGTCTTTGTAGAGAGGTAGTGTTTATAGACAGTCTGTGTAGAGAGGTCGTGTTTATAGACAGTCTTTGTAGAGAGGTAGTGTTTATAGTTATCGTTATTATGACATTCTTAATGGCCCGTCAACACATAGAAGGTCACTGTGGGGACATCCGGGTCATAGATCGTACTTCAGACGGCTACTAAATATTAATGGATTTAACTAATTTCTTGCACATCACATAACAAGTAAGATTATGCCGAATCCCGGAGTTCTGACAACTATTACATGCATGTGTTGAAAGTGAAACGGTAAACCCGGACGTGACTCTCCCGTGTTTGTTTATGTAAGTTACTATAGATACTTTATTTTTATATATATAAACCGAATCAGTTAAATAGCGACAACACCTATACAACTCAATTTATTGTGGTTGTATACAGTTAATCTATCATAACACTGTTATCTTCTCAGTTTGTAGAACAATATTACGGATAACATACCTAGTGGATTCAATAAAGACATATTATCGGAGTTAAACATACATATAGTACGTCATATCTCCTGTTTATTTCACGTGAATAAGAAATCTCAGCGGTTTTCTCTTTGATAATCTGTAGAAATCATTGCCTGAAGTTCTGAATTGATGATGTCGATTTAGCCACTTGTTATAAAAATAAATCGTCCGAATGAGATAAATATGAACTAATTCCATCTTGTTGTCGACGAAGAAGATAATTCCAGGATGTTTAATTTACAGTAGAGAATATAAATACACGTTTTTCTGATTGATAAACGGATGTTTGTTAACAATGTTAATTTACACACATACATCCGGAATGCACACGTGTGGACTGTTAAAACGTCCTACACACCTGTATATCCTTGTGAGCAAACAGATAGAGTTAAGTGAGTTATGTACCTGAGATAAATCACGTACTTCAAATTTATCTCGACTACAGCGAAGTTACGATTTCTGTGAACTAGAACAAAAAGTAAAACATTAGATTTACACTAACATTTTGTATGGAAAGGAAATTATATCACTAGTGTTTTATTTCAGTATATGTAGTATTTTATTATTTCTGTTTTTTTGTTTTTTGTTTTTGTTTGTTAGTTTTAATTTTAACGTGAAATAAGAAACACATAAAGAAAGTTATAATAAGGCAGTGAATTAAGGGATTTATGAATCAAATGATTGCCATGTGTATGTCTCTGTTCCTTATACAATACATATTGATGGCAAAGTAATTTAAACATAAATAGACATGATAACAAAATATAACACAGCGTTTTATATTTTATCCGGCGTGCCGAGTGCGATTCGCGAAATAGAAAGTTTAAAGAAAGGGTTTTTTTTATAGACAGGGTTTTTCTCTCTCTTCTTTGTTGATGTTAGTAGTATTTTAATATCACGACAATTACTAACCTTTACAGAGGTAGATGTACAGTCTTATCATCGTTATGGATTAGATGATAACCGAGATGTTGTCTGTTAAATTAGTTGTTTACATTTTGTAACTGTGTTTTTTCCGATTTATTTGTAAAGCATGAAATGGGGAAAGCTTTAAATTCGAAATTTGGTCAAAGCTAATCTTGATCAATTTCCATTAGGTCCAACATAAAAACGTGAAGATAGAGTTATTTTAATGCGCGTTCACTTCTCGTCCGAAGGAAAAACGAGGTCAAAATGGATTATTATTCACATCAGGGCTGCCTTGGGTCATCTCCTGGTCAATAGTATATGTGATTGTGGTAATCTTCCCGCCATACTCACAATACGGTTTGTAAACTGTTCGCTATCTATGTCACCACACAGTGCTTGTCGCTCCGTAGACAGTACGCGGTGTTTCTATTATAGAAAGCTGACAGACACCAAACTGACGAACCCAGTGTACAAGTCACGTACTTCATATCTATTGTTTTAATATCAGAAATATTGACTGTTATAGATCGATAAGCTCACACAGGGACGTACATTAATGAATAATGGCTACGGACGAAGATATTGCTGACTAAACATATAGTGATATTGCTAAGTGACAGGGAATTCCCGAGAGGCTAAAAATAGAACATACAGTCTATCTGTTCCGCATATTGATCGCAATAAACACTCCAGTCACGTGATCAAAAGACGAAGGGAGATTGCAGCTATATAAATTAATGCGCCATTCTGAGTCGAATATTGATTATTATGCAGGCATAGAAAAAAAACTTAATGTTTTCATGCATACGGAGACGGACTGATCATGTAAATAAATGCTAATTAGACGTCACATGGACAGGAATTAATATTTAACGTTTAGTATAATTATATAGATGATATGTCATTTTCCTAGGGAAGATCCGAGGTTAGATTGTATAACGATAAAATAGACACAACAGTGCAATATTTTCATATTGTTCTGTATAATTTGTAAAATTAAGAATGACCATATCTACAAATAGATATTTAGAAAGTGATGGTTGGTAATTTTGAATGAAAATTAAAAAAAAAAACTCATATATAACACTTTGCAGCTAAATCGCGATGAAATGTTTAAGTACTAAACAATACTGACAGGGCTGTGATCACAACTTAATATCCTTCTTATTTGACAGTAACACCATACAAACTGTAAGTAATTCGGTTCACAGCCATGAAGTTTGCTGTAGTGACAAGCTCATAAACATGTACTGTAATAAATTGTGGTTGGTAACTGTTATTCACGGCTCTAAAATTGTCCGTATTGTAATAGTTCAGGGATTTAGACATTAAATAAAATATTATAATTGACACAATACAATTATCAGACAGGAGGTATCGATCTGGTACGATAAAACATGTTCATTGCGTGGTCGATATATATTATGTATGTGACGAGCGCCATAATACATCGTTATATCAGAAAGCCAAGCTTCGCCATATTTTTATCGTTTACACTAAAGATTTCTAATGGTAACAGAAATCACGTCACATTTATAAATAACTGTCCGGACGTGCACTTTTGAAGGTCATACAGGACGAAGACAAGGTCATGCCATCGATCGGTCAGAGGGCATAGAGCTGCACGCGCCGACTGTGGTACAGAATCCACTTGTACCTGTTATATATTCTGACCATTACACGATACTCCGGGGATATTTCGTGTACAATTGTATATCACTGGACACCAATTACTGACCACGGCTGGAGAAGTGGACTTCCATGTTATTATACTACAGGGAAAACACGCGATTCCTGTCGATCTAAAATAGGATAGGTTACAGGATCATATCAGCTTCACGCCGGGTTATATTGAATAATATAGACAGTGTGTGGACTGACCACGACAAAAAGCTTATACTGAGTCGCCGTTTGATATAAAAAGTGACCAGTTAATAGTGTTCATGGACTAAAATTCCACAAAAACTGCAGAAATCGTTTTTAAGTTTGGATAAAACAAATACGAACAGAATTCGTCGTTGTAACCATATGGAGAGAGAAAATCACCATTTTTGATACCGACTGATATTGTAGGGGAGATCTATTTTCAATAACTATTTAAACAGAAAGCTTCTTAGTATATCAGGGGAGCAGCGGTCTAGCTAATTTTAAAACAATTGTGTAACGTTTGATTAAGTGGCAAGTTTTTAAAGGGATATTATTTTCAACGGACGAGAGATCCAAACCTGTAAAAATGATGTCGGTAAGTAAAGTTGTAACTTATTCATTATATTTAGCCACATTTAGATAATTATTTTATTTTAACAATATTTCCATTTCTCTTACCCCCTACTCGTAGCGGTTCATGTTTCTAAGGAAACCGAGAAACAGTTCGGTCTCTGTTCATGTTGTTTTGACCTTCGACAAGACATTTTACTATAACTCCTATTGACGGTTCGCGACGGACCACCCGTATGTTGTTCAATGAGGTAGCGAAGAGCTACTACAGGAGACCCCGTCTCCTAACGACAGGTTGT